GAAAATGTCAAGTTGTTATCAGTTTTATAGAGTATCAATTTTTGAAGATATATACCTTTATACAAAAGTTTAGAAAGAAAAAAATGCAGAGTTTAGTATGACATATATATATATATATATATATATATATATATATATATATATATATATATATTATATGCACACACACATATACACAAATGTTTGGTGAAATCAACCTGCAAGTTGTATTACAACAAACCAAAGATAAAGAAGACGAAGCACTTCCAAAGGTGATACAAGTAACCACAAGGCCTTTGGCTTGGCGGTATCTGAGTTTCTTGCTTTCTAGGAGGTCAGGGGTTCAAACCTTACCAATGTTGAGAAGGGTGTGTGAGTTTATTTGTTGCATTTGCCGTATATAAAATATATTATATACTTCAATAAGAAAAAAGTCGATACAAGTAGTTTTGGTAGGAAAAAAAGAAAAAATGACATCTTCTACTGCTCAAAAAGTATTACAAGAACATATAACAAAAGAATGTATGTCAAGGTGGTACTTGAAATGGTCCCAATCATCACACACTTTTGCATAACAAACAACAAAAACATCATATTTATGCAACAAACAAAACAACATAAATAACAAACATCATATTTGGGAATAAGAATGAAGAGTTGGGTTCCGGTGAAAAAGAGAAGTTATATGATGAGAAGCGTAAGAAGAGATCTCCACCCCTGGATCAATCTTAATTGAATGTCAACACTAATAAGGTGCAACGAGATGCACCAGACCAAATCCCTTCTAAAGCGGAATTCATGGTGGGCATGAGATCAAAAGTGATCAAGGGTTCAGATCTCTTCTTATGCTTCTCATCATAACTTTCCTTCTCACACGATCCTTCGTCTAAGAATGAAATGCTCCTTTTTCCTAGTTAAATTATTTCATCAGTATCTATATACAAATCACAAAAATATATATCATCTGTACCTTGAACCATATATACAAGCAGCAGATATATGAAAATGCCCAATGCTTCATTTACCAACACAAACTGGCTAAGAATGAGCTTCTGTTTCATCAACCTCTCGCCTTAAGGTTTCATATGATTCTGCTTAATATAACGAAACATAAATTAAGAGGATATACTCGTATAAAGGAAAAGGGGGCGAACTTAGCAATCAATCAGATACAGTTGTCGAATTTTGAAGCAGAACGGAGTGCAGTTTCATCTTTTCAGCCATGGGAAGGTTGTGTTATATATGATTAGTAAATAACAGATGACTTACCATAATTAAGCAAAAGCTTTGGAACACCGAGCCGTATCATCATACAAGATCCCAAACATAATCACCAAATCTACAAGCCCGTTGATCTAACAAACCCGGTATTCACAGGAAGTTGTTTCTTGGCACTCGGTGTCCTTGAGAAGTTGATTCTGTTTCTCTTGTGCCTTAAGATGTTCAACTTCTTCAAAGCAACGTAAAAAGTATTGGCCGTATCTTGAGTGATCTCATCTTCCGATAACAAACCCCTTTTGCATAAATCCATCAAAATCGTATCCCCATCTGGGAAATCATTTTCCTTGCAAAAAGACTCGACTAGAACAGCAAATGTGGTGACTGTGGGACAAATGCCTCTTTTCTTCATCTCTTTGTATAGCTTCAATGCTTCGACCAAATCACCATTACCACAAAAGCCCGTTATCAGAACGTTGTAGGTAACAGCGTCAAATCTTACATGATGTATTTCCATAATGTGTTTTAACTTCAACGCCTCAACGAAGTCGCGTTTTTTGCAAAAGGAATGCATCAAAGTGGTAAAAGTAGCAGGTGTAGGAACAAGATTCGCTCTAAGCATACAATCAAATACCAAAAGGGCTTCTTCAACTCTTCCTTTCTGCACAAGTCCTCGAACCATAGCACTCTCGGCTACATTACGTGATGGGACACCAAGTGCTTGGATTTCACTTTTTAGCTTAATCGCCCTTTTGACATTTCCCACACTACACATACGGGTAATTAAACGAACAATTTGTTTTTCACTAGGAACAAAACCTTTCTCCATCATCTCATTGAGAAAAGAATGAGCGGGTCGGCAACCATACTTTTCTTTGATTCCTTTAAGAAAGATATTGAACGTATCTTGATCCGGAAAAACTCTAAACGCACTCATAATATCCAACAATTCAGAAGCTTTCACAATTTGCCGCCTATTGCTGCATTCAGAGATTATCATATCAAACGTACATTTGTCAGCAATTGTACCTTTCAAGATCATATTTTTCAAGATCTTGACTGCAAAATCAAGCATACCCACATTACAAAGTCCGTAAATTAGGGCATGACATGTTAGTTTATCAGGAACAAAACCTTCTCTCAAAAGGGTACCATATACTGCAAAGCAACTCAATATATCCTGTTGTTTTGAGTACCCATGCAAGAGAATGTTATATGTAGCCAAACTAGGTGATAAACTTCCATCTCTCATCCTAGAAAATAAACCATAAACCATAGACATGTTTCCCATTCTCGAATAACCATCCATAAGTACATTGAGTAGAATTGTATCAACAACGAGGCCCTCTCCTACCATCTTCTCGTGGTAAAAAGCAGCAGTCTTTGGCTGTCCCACTTTAAAAAGACCGTCAATTAAGCATGTGTAAGTGACATGGTTGGGCAAAAGAGCTCCCTTTTGCATCCAGTGTTCCGAAAGAAGAATGGCACTGACCATTTTACCCTTCTTACACAAACTGGCCAAAATACAAGTATAAGTATGACTATCAGGAATCACATTGTTACGGACCATGTCTTTCACCAAGAAAACAGCAGCTTGTAAGTTGCCCGATCTACAAATCTCAGCCAGTAACATGTTGTAAGCAACAACATCTAAAGCATGTGGAATGCAACGGATTTTGTTCAAGAATTTCTCCGCCTCTTCAAAATTCCCACCGTAACAAAGTGCTTTTAGTAGAGTTCCGTACGTATAAGAGCTAGGTTGATGACCCAAATTGACCATTTCTTCATATAAAGACAACGCCTTTAATCCATTTCCCATGCTTACATAGCAGTTTATAATGCAGTCAAAAGTTGCAGTGTTAGAAATAATACCAATCCTACCCATGTGCTTCATTAATTCCATTGCTTCTCCCACTCTTTTACTTTTACAAAATGCAGCAACTAGTTTGTTACATAGGAAAAGATCCGGATCATGACCATCCCGATTCATAGTCGCATAAATTTGCATCGCTTCATTTACCTTTCCATGGATGCAACAATTATACATCAATGTAGAATATATCACTTTGTTTGGTGTCACACCTGATTTATACATTTTACACATCATCTCCTTTGCATTCTTTAACTTCCCTTCTCTAGAAAACCCATTTATGAGTACTGAATATGTAACGACATCAGGATCGACACCATTTTGTATCAATTTATCAAGAACTTGCACACCTTCTTTGAGCATCTTACTTCTGCAAAATCCATGGATTAACATTGTATAGGGAATATGATTAACAAGAATTCCGTTCATTTTCATGCGTTCTAAAAGGCTAAAAGCTGAATTTAACTCTCCAAGCTTACACAAGCCATCCAAAACAACACCATAACTAAATTCATTAGGCCTTAATCCCCATTCTTCCATCTCGTTGAGAAGTTCTATAGCTTCGTTGAAACTACCTTCCCGACAATACCCATCAATCAAAGCATTATAAGTTACAATATTTGGAGAAATCCTAAAGTTCAACATCTCATTGAAAACGTGAACCGCAACTCCAGTCTTCCCTTCCCTAATAAACCCCTTAACGAGAGTATTATAAGTGACCGTATTGGGAGAAACCATCCTTTTTCTCATCTTTTTCAACAACAAGTAACCTTTAGCACTCCTATTGTTTTGACACAAATTATCTATAAACATGTTATATGTGCACACATCTGCTTCAAGACCCTTATGACCCATGTGATCAAGCAGCTCGAGAGCTGCCTTGTATCTTCCCTTTTTGAAGTACCAATTGAGCAATGTATTGTAAGTAACCAAAGTTGGGACATAACCACCCTCTTCCATTTTCCAAACAAGATGTCCAGCTTTCTTAATCTTCCCGTTAAGGCAAAGAACATTCAAAAGTACATTAAAAGTACCAACATTTGGGCACACATTCATCCGAAGCATTTCCTTAAAAAGTAACCAAGCAGACCCTGATCCTGCCCGGTTGTCTTTCCCCATCGCAGCTAAAATCATGTTACAAGTATTAACAGACGGCCTAAAACCCCGCGCCCCCATCAAATGAAAAATCTCCAAGGCATCCTTAACCAAAGATTCTTGCAAGTAAACCCGAATCAAAAGGTCGAAAACAGCAGGATTTGACTTACAAAGAGGGTAAGTGTCCATCAAAGCAACAAAAATGGAGTTGGGGCCAATACCCATCTCAGATAATTGCGTCAAAATCAATTTTACAGAGGCATACATCCTTGCTTTAACTAGTATATGAACAGTTATACAGTAAACATAAGTGAGGTTCTTGAGTTGTTGAAAGGCAGGTTGTTTGATTACCCAATTGAGAAATTTCAAAGCTAGCCTTCCATGAACTGGCCTGAGGGAAACCCGTTTGTAATTCATTTGATTTAAAGACTCCCATCTGCTAATTGTCAGAATTGCATAGATGCTATTCTCCAGTTCCAGACCTAGTTTAACCGAATTACAGAAATAATTATAAACAATTCATCAAAGAAAGCGCACTAACCCATTTCTACTTGGATACTCAGTGAAGATTCTTAACCAAAAACATATTAAAGAGAATAAGTTTACCAGAGTTCTTCTGCTCCATCACAGCTTTGCTTCGGTTAAGCGATCTTTTTGGCTTTTTGAGAGAACCCATGTGCGAGAAGTGCCTAAATGATAGTTTCTTCTGGAATAAGGAAATTTTCGAAGAGCGTAGCATACTTGGCCTTTCTTCTTGGTTACTGGTTAGGGTGCGTTTTAACGGACGGGATAGACCGGCGGGAGTGAAGTTAACGGGTGTGTATAGCCTATATGGCTTATTCGTTCAGACGTTCAGTTGGTAGCTTATTCGCAAGGGCTCTTTTGTACATTCAGCCCAATGTTTTACCGCGTTACCCTTCTCTTAAAAGACACCGACAACCTCAATAAAGAAAAAGAAAACCCTTCAATTAGTTTGAAAACTAGAATTATAGTTTTTTTTACTTTATTAATTTATTATAAGTTAGAATGGTTTAACTTTTCAAAAACTTCTTATTGTCGGTTTGTCACTGATAGAAATTGTTTATCCAAACACTCAAAAGTGTTGGCACACCCGAAAAAGTCAATAAATTGTTTTTATAAGCAATCTCAAACACCCCCATAATTATTAAAATAAGATAAAATATACTTGGAAGTTTTATGTGTTAGAACTTAAAGATTAAAAAAACTATTAACTATTAATTATTAATTAAGGGGTCTTTTACTAAACGCTTACTTGCTCACTGAATAAATTTCTTTATCAGATGAGCATGACAAGGGCCAAAAATCTTACTATGTAAGAGTGATGAGAAAGATTACGACTCTTACCCAGGTAAGCGCTTACCCGGTAAATTGTTGCATTCAATACGTTTTGATTTACTAAAATCTTACTCATTAAAATAAATTATAGTGTTAACTCCTATAGATACACACTTACCGGGTAAGCATTTAGGTAAACAGCCCTTGAGAGTTAAATAGTCATTTTTGTTATTTTAATTACAATATAATAACCAGATTTATTTTATAAATACAAACAACTTTATCAATAAAGTCATCTTTATTTATAATTTTACCCGTATTTGTTTAATGTGCCAAGTTGCAAACTATAATTTTGGTCCTATTGATTTACACCCAACTATGAATAATGTCCCTAAACTTCACTAAATACAATAATGGTTACTATCGTAATATCGTTTGCATTTAGCTTTAAAAATGATCCCTTCACTTAACACGGTAAAAAATTTCAGTTAAACGAGGGGTATTTATGTCTTTTTTACTCTTTTTGTCTCATCTATTTTGTCTTCTACCCAAAATTTAGTGGAATCAGTGGGAGTGAAGTTAGTTGTTGAACTTGTCGAAGTTTGTAACATCTCCAACAGCTATGTTGTTTTAGAAATTTTGGAGATTTGAGAAAAGTTTGTTCAAATGACTATGTTAACCTTTCCTCTAAAATAGAGAGAGAGAAAAAGAGAAAATAGAGAAATCTCCAAATTTGAAAAAAGTAAAAAAAAAAATATATATATATATATATATATATATAGGGTTGGGTTCACGTGAGACCAAAGGTTTTTCGTGAGACCCGTAAGACTAATTTATGTTCATTGATCAAATTTATGAATTAATAATCTAATGGTTGCAAAGTTGCAAGGTGGCAATTTCGTAATTAGTGAGAAGTCTCATGGCGTTTATAAATGTTCACATCTGACGATTGTAAATCTAATCCAAGGGATGAGAATTGGTCTTACGGGTCTCACGAAAAACCATTGGTCTCACATGATCTCAAGTCTATATATATATATATATATATATATATATAACATATCTGTTGGAAATACTCTAAATATTTAATGAATTTACCTATTTTATTGTTTACTTTTATTATGTTTTTTGTTCTTATTGTGTTATTGGTCTAAATGTCGCACCAAAATATAGGACAACTTTGCATTATCAAACTGTAATTTAGGCCAGGTCAAATTTTATAAAAAAAAGGAACTAGAGACACTCATATTTATAATCATGTTGAGAGTGGAAACTTAACCAAGTTGATTATCGTAACCCGGCCCAAGACGCATCCACGCTAGTGGAGCAATAGCCGAGGTAGACCGTCGCGGTTGCAACAACGAAGGCCAAAGCCGAGGAAGGAGTAGCCATCTTAGCGATCCACAAAGCCTGGGCAGCCTTTCAAGCCCATTTTTAGTAAGCAAAAAAAGGGTCTTGACTTTTTTCAGGGCCGCCCTGGCTGCACTTTTGGGTTGAAAAGTACTCGGTTAGGCTTGTTCAGGTCGAGCTTAACGAGGCTTCTCAGGACGCTTTGATTAGGCCTTGGAAAAAAGAGTTGTCATGCTTGGGCTTTAAGGCCAAACCTAGGTTGGGTTTGTGCTTACTAGGCGTGAGTTTTTCAGGCTAAACTTAAGTTTTTTGTGCATCTCCAAGCCATCACAAGTCTTGACGAAATCCTGGCCACATGGTCATATGCTCGCCGAGCCTGTCAACCACCTCTCGAAGATCATGGACAAGCAAGTTTAAGAGAGAGATGACAACCACCATTTTGCATACACCCACTAGATCAAGTTCAATTTTGTACAAACTGAATTAGGGATGTAAATGATGCGAATTGAGCTTGAGTAGTGACATACTCGACTCGAACTCATTAGTCATTTCTCAAGCTTGAACTCGAAAACTCGTGAATAACTAAAAACTAAACTCGACTTGAACTCGATTACAATTTTTAAACTCGAACTCGTTTGAAGCTCAAACCAATCACAAACTCGAATTAAGCTCAAATTTGAACCAAACTCAAACTCGAACTTGAATCAAACTCGAACCAAACTCATCCGTTGGAAATTTATGAAATTTTAGGGTCTTATTTGAGTTGAGTGTTGACCGAGTTGGTCTTGAGTAGTTCGCGAGTTGCCTCGTACAATTTACCCCCCCAAAACTGAATCGTGAACTTTATAATAGGCAACACCACCTACATCTCTATTCGACTAGTGGAGGAGTGACTAAACGTCACCTATGGTTTTACCCCTTTTCTTGGATTTTCCATGTCAACAACGAATATATGCTATTTACTTTTCTAGTCATTTATTTATTGTTAATTTTATCATTTACTCGTTTGATTGTTGAGACTCAAATCAGTATCATATTTATACCGAAATCCGACCAAAATAAATCACATGAAAAATTCAATCACAGTCTAAAATCATCCCGATAGTGACGACAGTGACGAGGAATTACATGTCTCGAAGTTTCAAATAATTATGAAGATATTGATATAGTTAAGGGGGGCTATATGTTTCAACTGTAAATGAAAGGGCTAAACATAATAAATTGGGACTTCAACAATTATTTATACTATATTATAAAACATTTGACAAAAACTCTTAAAAACCATTTTTTATGCATAAAGTACTGTTTATTAATGAATATTACTTAAAACTCAAGATTACAAGTAGATTGTACGTAAGTACAACTTATTAACGCTCCATATCTGAATTCGTGTAACTAACTGCAGATAAACATAATCAAATACAAGATAAACATCTCATTTTAAATATAATAAATCTAAAATATAATTAAGATAATCATTAAGTTCTAACAAAATACTTAAGTATTATTTTTATAAAATGTTATATTATTAAATCAAAAATAAATTATTTCATTATTAAACTTAAATTAAATTATAATTGAAAATTGAATTAAAGAAATTACATAAAAAAACAAAAAAACTTCTAAATAGTTAATTTGATACTAATGTTGATATATTTATTTTTGAAATTTTATGATATTTTGAAATTTATTTTTTATTCAAAAATAAAAACATTATTTGTTTTCTTTAAACCATATAAAAACTGTATTATAACATAATAGAGACGGAACGAAACATTAAAATCTAAATATATCTTATTATATTATTTGAGTACCTTTTAATATAAATAAATTTATATATTTAGAAAAACCGTGGTAACGGCGCTGTTTGTTTAGCTGTGAGCGATTCCATTCAGACCTTCGCTCAGAGACCCAAAATGTTTGGTATTGTTTTAGGGGAGTGTTAATGGCAACTCCTTTCATGTCAAAATAATTTCATTTCAAGTATTGAGAATATAAAAAGTTTACATGATGTTGATGTGTGTTAGGGGTGCATTAGCCCACCCCTTGTTTTAACCTGATCTGAATGATTCCAAAGGCTCTGTACCATTTAGTGTCCTGCAGATATCCATATCATTCAGAGCGATATCAATCTCGGTTCACTCCTGGTCGCTACTACTCTCGTCTCTCTACTGATCAATCTAACAGGTATCAATCTTGCATCTGGTTATCAATCTCGACCCTTTCATTGTTTGATTACTCCTCGTTGGGTCTATCATTTCTTCTAGCTCATATTTTTTGCCATCTTCTATGAAACCAAATTAGTATAGGTTATAAAAGATATCTGATCAATTATATGTTTCTCAAGTATTTATGAAGCTCGGTGGTGTGAAATTGAAGTAATGTTGAGTTATTTGTTTTTTTTATGAACACCAACTGTTTGATAAAATTCCTCAATGAACACCAACAGAAGCGTAGGGAATAGACAAAGCAAGAAAGTAAGTTTTGGGTATAACCACTGTGACCAACTGTATGAACACCAACAGAGGTGTAGGGAATTACAAAGCAATAAAGTAAGTTTTGGGTATAAACCACTGTGTATTTTATTTCATCGGAAGCTAGCCTTTTATAGGATCTACAAAAAACATAAAGAAGCTAGAAAGCAAAAAACTACCTAAAAAGCAGTAAAAATAAAACATAAATAAGCTAACGTTCTAAAGATTTCCCATGATTCTAGCATCAAACTTTGAATTAAAGACTTGACTTGGTCTTCAATACTCTCCCTTGATTCAAAGTTAGTGATGCGTAATTGATCTTGAAATTCTTCAAACTTGGCTCTTGGAAGAGACTTGGTGAATAAGTCTGCTAATTGTTGCTCTGACGTGCAGGATTGTAGCTGCACTTTTTCTTCAACAACCAAATCTCGTATAAAATGATGTTTAATCTTTGTTGAACCGTAACCGGATTTCTTCTACAATCGTGTGAATCACTTTCCAAATTCGATATTTCGACCGTATATGCTTGGTATCACGAAATCCGATTGGGATAATTGTAAAAGCAACAATCTTGATTTTGGCCGAAATCAAGATCAAAAACCAGAGAGAATATAGAGCATCTCCAATCTTCCGTGTGTGCCCAAAAAACTGATCATCCGAAATTAGATCTCAAAACTCAAAACGGGAGTTACCAAGTTATAGAATTCACAATCATGCCACAGAAAATTCAAGAATTTTTCATTATAAACCCTATACTTATATAATTTCGGGCCGGGGCGCTGCCCCGCACCCCGCTAGTGGCTCTGCCCCTAGGACCCCATTACACTAAATGTAACCGGTGACACTAAAATCAGGGGGCGTTGCCCCCCTAAATATTACCGGGACCGACTTAGACTAATACAAGTGTGCACTCCACACTCTCCATACTTGTTTTAGAACAAAGTTCAATCCCCTTGAAACACACGTATAAAATCCATTACACTAAATGTAACCGGCGACACTAAAATCACCAACAATCTTGATGTGTTTAGTCCTACCATGTAATACCGGGTTCTTTGTCATGGCAATTGCTGACCTGTTGTCACAAAATATGGTAGTGGTTTGATGTTGTGTCTGATTCAAGGCACTTAGCACCCTCCTCAGCCATACAACTTGACAGGCTGCTGCTGTCGCAGCAACGTACTCGGCTTCTGTTGACGACAAAGCCACTGTAGCTTGCTTCTTTGATGCACAAGTGACTGCTCCCGATCCAACAGTGAAACAATTTCCACCAGTACTCTTCATGTCTCCTTTCCTTCTTTGATGCACAAGTGACTGCTCCTGATCCAAGAGTGAAACAATTTCCCCCGGTACTCTTCATGTCTCCTTTCCTTCTTGCTTTGAATACCAAATTCCTTATAATGTTGTAGCTTTGCTTCTCCAAAGTGTTGCTTACTTGGGCAGTGCATAAACCTTGATACAAGACAAACTTCGTATGCCAAGTCGGGTCTACGTCCCACAAGACTTCTAAACTCCCTTGCATCTGTCAATCCTGTACCATCATCAATAACCAATTTCTCACTCGCATTCATTGGTGTTTTACAACCTTTCATACCAAATTGCTTCAAAAGCTCTATCACATACTTTTGTTGGGATAGAAATATCCAATTTCTTCGTTGTTGCACTTCAAGGCCAAGAAAGAAGCTCAATTCCCCGAAGTTAGTTATTTCAAACTTGTTGCAGAAATAAGTTGCATATATGAACCTGTGTAAATCATGTCATCTACATTCAAATTTACCAACATAATATTTTCAGCTCCTTGTCTCTTTATGTAATGTTGGCTCATTAGAGCTTCTTTTAAACCCATTTAGACGAAAAAATTCATCTATCTTACTGTACCATGCTCTAGGGCCTGCCTTAAACCATACACTGCTTTCTCAAGTGTGTACACTTTGTGCTCTTCTCCAAGGACTTCAAAGAATTCTGGTTGTTGAACATAAACTTCCTCTTTTAATTCCCTATTTAAGAACACAAACTTCATGTCAATGTGGAAATTGTCCATTGCATTTGTGCAGTCAATGCTAGAATAATTCTTACCGTTTCAAATCTTGCAACAGGTGAGAATGTTTCTTCAAAGTCTATCCCCTGCTCTTGAACATATCCGCATGCCACCAATCTAGCCTTGTGCTTCTAAATTGTGCCATCAGAGTGGAATTTTGTCTCGAAGATCCACTTAAGGCTAATTGCCTTTTTTCTTCGGGTAGCTCAACTAGCTTCCATGTTCCATTCCTTTCGATGGAATTAATTTCTTCTTGCATAGCTGTCCTCCAAACTTCATTATTTATTGCAAGCCCGACATTATTCCAAACTTCATTATTTATTGTAAGCCCGACAAATAAGTTAAAGTCATAGCCTTTTTCTTCAATCTCGAATTGCTTCTTTGGAATGTTGCCACACTTACTTTTATCGTGGTTGCATTTCTTCATGATTAATATCTTCTTGACCGCATCACCATGTCCTATGCACATCTAGTCACTAGTCGGGCTTGGGCAACCAATCGTGCTTCGGACGGGGATCAACGAGCTGCCCATCAGCAAAAATAGAGAAGAAACCCCTGTTGCCGCCACTTTGGACATTAACCGGTTGTGAGACACCATTTCGGGTGTTAACTGGGTTGTTCTTCCGGGAGGCCTTCTTCTTGTACTTCTGTAATTGTTGTTGAGCTGTTGGTGTTCTTGACCCAGACTTCCTGCTCATTGAACTGCACATCTCTACTAATAACAACACAATTTTTATATATTTCAAATAATCTACCTGCCTTGGAACTAGAAGAATACCCCACAAATATATATATCTTTCTCTTTTGATCTAACTTGCTTCGACCAAATGGAATCAAAGCATAACATATGCATTCCAAATATATGTTGATGGCTGACAAAGGGTTTAGATTCATACTACGCTTCGTAGGAAGTGACATTCCAAACAGCTTTCGTGGGAGATATGTTGATTAGATGAACATCTGTTGATACTGCTTCGGCGCAAAACTCGTCTTCCAGGTTATTGGTTTTGAGCATCAATCTTGCCATCTCAATGATAGTCCTGTTCTTCCGTTCTGCTATACCATTTTGTTCAGGAGTATAAGGGGCTGTAAGTTCTCTCTTGATTCCATGCCCGTCATAGAAACTACTAAACTCCTTTGAGAGAAACTCTTCTCCTTTGTCCGTCCTCAATACTTTGATTTTTCTATTACATTGGTTCTCTGTGTAGGCTTTAAATTTCTTGAAAAACTCAAAAGCCTATCCTTTAAATTCTGTGCAGGTTCTCAGATACCGTTCCTTTTCCTTCAATTTGAACTTGCCTATCCTCTCCCAAGCAAACTTGGTATTTCATTTTTTCATCCAGATCTTTAAATTTCTCCTTATCTCTTGTCATATGATTCGAACATGCACTATCAAGATACCAAATATCTTTTTTCATAATTTGATGACTTACATATGTCATGAAGAGGTAGTCTTCTTCATCTTTCTCTGCATATTGTGCATGCCTATTTATGCCCTAACAATCGTCTTCTTTGTAACCATATTTCTTGCAGTTGGTACACTGGAGAGTATTGCTCATTCTTCCACGTCCTCTGCCTCTAAAACCACCTTTTCCTCTACCATGATTTTGCAGACGAGCTTGCTCCCCATGAACTTGAAAGGCCTGCTCATCTTCTTTACAACATTTCTGCTTATTCTAGTCTCATGTGTTTGGAGAGACCCCATGAGTTCATCAACCGAGTAAGTGGATAGATCTTTGGGTTCCTCTATGGCTTCGACAACGTGATCAAACTTGGCTGACAGACTCCTTAGAATCTTTGCAATAACAATGTCATCTGCCACTTTATCACTATATGCTCTCATTTGGCTAACGATGCCTGAAATTCAAGCAAGATAGCTTGAATCGTTTCATTACTCTTTATGCTTGCCGACTCAAAGTCTCGCCTCAAGGACTACAATTTCACTGTGATCACCTTGGTACTCGACTTTGAGTGTGTCCCATGCCTCCTTTGCTGAAGTTGCTGCTGCAATCCTTGAGAATATAGTCTCATCCATGGCTTGTTGAATGACGAACATGGCCTTCACGTCTTCCTTTACATAGCAAAGAAAGTAAGTTTTGGGTATAAACCCATGTGTATTTTATTTCACCAGAAGCTAGCCTTTTATAGGCTTTACATATAACAGAAAGAAGCTAGAAAGCAGGAAACTACCTAAAAAGCAGTAAAATAATCAGTAATTAACGTTCTAAAGGTCTCCCATGATTCTAGCATCTAACTTTGAATTAAAGACTTGACTTAGTCTTCAATAAGAGGTTGTAGCTGCTGCTGTGATGTACTTCATATACCAGAACGAAATACACTAGTTCTTCAGGAAAAGGGAAAGAAATATATTTAAGGGGAATGTTGGTGTTGAGTATTTGGTTGGTTAAATACCAACCGTTTGGTAATATAAATAAGATGAAAGGGTATAATCTAATAAGGAAGTGGGTCTATGGCTTATTAGTTGAAAGGTCAATGCAAAATTGAGTTGATTGCACTTGCCAAAGTGATCCTCACATGATTCCAAAGACAAAACGTGCATTAGATGTCTTAAGGAAAATTTGGTATTATGTATAATATGTGAATTACCAACATTTTAGCTTCGGATGTTAGCAGCTTATAGGATTCGTGGATCGACTAATGTTCTATTAGTGGTTCTCTTTGCATCTGGATTATATACCAGAGAAGTAATTAAGGTGGGCAAAAGTTTATCACGTTTCTAGACAATTGGTTGCGCTATGTTACAGGGATTACGTACAATTAGAATCTTGAAAGAATTCTCTAGAAGTTAATTTGGTAATTCACTCGCATACCAGAGAAGTACAATAACAGTAAATATGCTCTTGTTCACAATCATGTTTGGTCATTTTCTCATTGTGTGGTCACACACCCTATTCACATTTCTGCTACATTAATCTTATGTGCATATCATCTTTTGGTGGCCCAAGATTATGCCTTCCAAATCATACTCCCGCTGTCCCAAAATAAATGTCCACAATGAAAAGGCACATAGTTTTAGAAATATGTAAGTATTACCCTCTTTAATCAACCAAGTGACAATTTTAACTATAATAATAGAGAGAGTAATGTATTTCTCCATCTCATAAAATCATAATTAAGGGTAGAATTGGAAAGATGACGCTTACTTTTGAAAATGGACATTTATTTTGAGACAACCTAAAATAGAATTGTGGACACTTATTTTACGAGAGAGGGGGTAACAAGTCTAAGGATTCTTTTATAAACTTACCTATGAGCTTGGATGAAATTTTCTGACATAACACTCCCAAAGCTAGTCCTATTTCATCCACTTCCCTTATCCTATGACTATCATCTCACCAATCTCTCCATCTTTTATTAGTTCTTTTAAGAAAATCTTTACATGCTTACCTACTACATTTGCATTAATCTTGGTCATGACTTGAACAGGTCAAGGAGAAATACAACCCTTGATGCCGTTGCCTACTTGCCTCTATACCTTCCTACTCATAGACATGTCTATTTTTAACCAGAACTAGTTTTTGATGTTGCGGCACGTTGATCTCGTTGCATCGATGGCTGCTATTCCAATGGGGCCATCGCCAACTCCTCCTGATAAAACTTCATTGATTAAAACTGCAAATTTTGCCCGAATCCCTTCTAAGTTGTCTCTAAAATCAAACGTTTCTTCACCAAAAGCACCGCTGGTTCAACAAGGTCGTATTGAAAATGTCCATTTGGTTTCATTATCCAAACAAGGGAAAATTCAAGAAGCTGGAGATTTCATTAAAGAAATGGACAAGTCTGGTGTTTCGGTAACACTTCACTCGTATGAATGCTTGCTTGAAATGTGTGCTGATTTACGGCATCTGCCAGTTGGAAAGTTCATTCATGATCATTTCCAGAGCTCCCTTGGCACACCACCCATTTTCATCCAGAATTGTGCTCTGCGAATGTATTGTGAGTGTGGAAGTTTTTCAGACGCAAACAGGTTGTTTGATGAAATGACCGAGAGAAATTTGGCTTCCTGGGCCATACTCATATCTGCATATGCAAAAGCAGGACTCATAGGAAAGGCAGTGAAGTTGTTTTCATGTATGAAGACTATCGAACCAGATTTTACCATTTATATCAGCATTTTGCAATCTTTAGTAGACTCATCAAGTTTAGAACTTGGTAAACAGATGCATTCACTTGCAATCAAGAATGGATTCACTCACATTGTTAAAGTGGATACGACCATATTAAGTATGTATGTGAAATGTGGATGCTTAGATAGTGCCGAACTAAGTTTTGATCAGATGGCTGAGAAGAATGCTGTAGCATGGACTGCTTTGATGGTTGGTTACATGCAAATAGAGAAGAGAGTAGAAGTTATAGATTTGTTTCTTGCAATGGTAAAAGAAGGTGTTCAGCTTGATGAATATGTGTTCTCAATTACCCTAAAGGCGTGTGCTTGCTTGGAGAACCAAGCAATCGGCCAACAAATTCATGGCTACATTTTGAAGCTCGGGATGGCAGATGAAGCTTCGGTTGGAACTCCACTTGTGGACTTCTATGTGAAATGTGGAAGTATAGAATCTGCTACCCGAGCATTTAACAAGATATCTGAACCAAATGATTTTTCTTGGAGTGCTCTAATTACAGGCTATTCCCAATCCGGTGAATTTGATGAATGTCTGAAAGTTTTCAAGTCCTTGAAAAGTAGAGATGCAGTGCTGAATTCATTCATTTACACTAGCATCTTCCAAGCATGCTCTGCCGTTGCAGCTTTCGATTTGGGTGCTCAAGCTCATGGTGATGCTATAAAAAGAGGCTTGGTTTCGTATCTATATGGCGAAAGTGCCATGATTACTATGTATGCACGATGTGGTCGGTTAGATTATGCACGTCAAGTATTTGAATCCATTCGGAAACCAGATAACGTCACCTGGACTGCTATAATTGCTGGCTGTGCTTACCATGGTAACGCATCTGAAGCTCTACGCCTTTTTAGAAGGATGCTCTCTTCTGACGTGAACCCAAATGCGATTACTTTCATAGCGGTTTTTACTGCTTATAACTATTCCGGTTTGATCAAAGAAGCCAAAGAATGCCTTGATTCTATGAGTAGTCGGTATGGTGTGCAGCCAAATATTAATCACTACAACTGCATGATTGACATATATGCCCGTGCTGGTAGACTAGAGGAATCACTTGAGATGATAAAAAACATGCCATTTGAACCCGATCCAATGAGTTGGAAGTGTTTATTAGGGGGCTGCTCAATCCATAAAAACTTCAAACTTGGAAAAATTGCATCCGAAAACCTCCTACGACTTGATCCACACGATACAGCTGCGTATGTTCTTATGTTCAACTTGCATGCTTCATCTAGAAATTGGGAAGAAGCAGGTTTGGTTAGAAAGATGATGGCAGAGAGGAACTTAAGAAAAGAGGTAAGCTGCAGCTGGATAAGTATTAAGGGTAAAATGCATCGGTTCGTTGTGGGTGATCAACATCATCCACAGGCGCAAGAAATTTACTTAAAGTTAAAGGAGTTTGAGTACCCCAAAACTAGTAATCAAGAAGTCTTGCTAACTGAAGATGATGTTTCAGATATTTTGCCGGAACGCAGGGAACAACTTCTTGATCATAGTGAGAGACTTGCAATTGCTTATGGTCTTATATCAACCAGTAAAGGTTCTCCGATCACAATCTTCAAGAATCTGCGTGCTTGCAAAGATTGCCATGAATTTGCAAAACATGTATCGATGGTCACAGGACAAGAAATTGTTGTTAGAGATGCGAATCGATTCCATCATTTCAAATCTGGGAAATGTTCTTGTGGTGATTATTGGTAGTGACCTACCTGTTGGATTGAATTGTAAGATAGGATCCACATTCGATTATTTTCTTGAAGAAGTATATAATTGATCATTATATTTCTACAGTTATGACCTCCAATCGGTTTTCCTTCCCTTTCTTCCTTCTCTTTGTGTTTTTCATTTTCTTTTTGTCTTTCAGATTGGTTTTGCTGTTGTTTCCAAGATGTCTAAATTGATTAATTAGACTGTCTACTTGATTTGATACGAGTCAAATTTGGAACCTGAGATAGCTGCCATGTGATACAGGAGAAATATTGCCCGATAATTGAATACTTTTGCAGGATCTGGAGATGTCATTCTGCATCAAGGGTATATGGTTGGCTTATATATACCAAGGCATTCTTCAAGAGACAGTGTAAGGACTTTTTTGCTCTTCTGTATCGAGTTCGTATACCTCAAGTTGCCAATATGATTGTTTCATATGGCTTATTTATCATCGATATTTCAACTTGTAGGAAAATCATTTCATGACGATTATTGCTAAGTTGGCATTAATGATGGAAGACTTTCTGATGCATATGTTGACTGCTTTAAGGTACTCCTAAGCAAGAATTCTGTTTGTTTTGTCAATTTTGATGCTTTATGACAACTGATGCATAGTATTATGATCAAAGCAAGTAATTACACTTTTGATATATCTTGAAAAATTTACCTTTATTTGGTAGGGTGAGATGAGTAACCGGTATGAAACGAAATGATGATAAGTATTTTTGATTAAGCTGATAAACCTCAAATTTGTTGTCATGAAAGTGGGTAACCTTACAACAAGGGTTAGAAATTAAGTGCAATTCCAGTTCTGGTAGGATTGTTGGTTTAGAACTCCCAAAGAAAAGATTAACTGGTAGTTTATCTGATCTTATTTCCAACTTAGGGTCCGTTCACCAAACACTTACCGATATGCACTTGCCGGTAAATTCAATACTATCATTTACTTGCCAGGTAAGATTTTAGTCCACCAAAACGGCATAGTATGCAACAATTTACCCGATAAGTACTAACCATGGTAAGAGTTGTCTCCTGCACTTACCGGGTAAGATTCTTAGTCCTTGCCTTCACTAGGGGTTAAGATTCTTGGTCCTTGTCATATTCATTAAGGTAATGTGACTTGGTGAACTCTTAACCCAAGTAAGCGTTTGGTAAACGGCCCCTTAGATCACCTTAAAACACGATCTTTCTAACAATTTTATAAAGTAAGGTCACTTACCTTAAATAAATGAGCATAGTAATGAACGAGAATCTTACTGATAAGAAGCAAGACAAGGATCGAAAGTAATTGACAAGTTGACGTAGTTATAGTCCCTAAAGATAAGTTGTCGTTTGTATGGTATACTTACCACATCATCTCCATTTTAACTTAACATCTACCTCAAAGAATCATATTTACACAATACCGTATCTGATTATTTAGAAAGAGAAACACATAACAGAGATGGAGTGATTTTCTTAAAGGAAAATTTCATGTATTGCATCCAGATCTGATAGCGTTGGATCCTCAAGTGGAAATCTCCCAACAATCGATTGAAATGATCTTCATTAGGATCCATTGGAAAGACCCATTTTTGACTTATCATCCTAATATATCTGCTTACAAGGCTTTGTCAACGATGAGGACATGAGTTTTCTAACAACTTTGATAGGAGACAAGTTAAGACTTTTTGTCCCTAATTGGTTTGATAAATTTCGATGGTTAGAGTATAGTGTAAAAGTATACAAAGTCTATTGTTTATGACAACGACATATATTGCTTTTCTTTTACCATATATTCACGTTTCAATTGTGCTTTGTTGTGAAAACTATTGACTTACCCTCATGAATGAGAAGAAAGTTAACTTGCAAATCTTTTTCCGTTGTAAACAGGGACAAATGACAGCGTGACACGTGTCCCCGGTTGTCCACATCCATCATAATGTCGTGAACATTCATGAATTATTCATGATGAATGATGCAACATTTACCATTCATGATGGATAACCCATGAATGTATGAGACACGTGCATGCTTTCTTTTGTCTTGGTTCATACCGAAACTTAGGTTTTCAGTAGAACACACCCCAATATATATTGGGTATCTTGGTACGATCCTGTTGTAACATTAAGATTTTATGTTGTCTAACACACATTTTCGCACTCCATACTCATGCATGCAATTATATGCCTACCAAAAGTAACATAAATTAATTCAATAACAAATTAAACAAGAATAAACACCGTCATATATCGATATATAGGTTTGTAGATTTGCAAATAAGTTAATTGAAGTTGTAACGAACAAAAGCATGAATTTGTTGCGTTATTTGACGATGATCTACGTCAACATAAGCCTTACTTCACACGTCACATATAATAATATGCACGTGAAACTACTCCATTATTGTTCCATTATGCAACACGACATGTGGGATGTCGTGTGATCCTACACATATTCTATTAAGAAGTCAAATGAATTTCCATTCAGGCAAAAAAAAAAAAAAAACATAGCTGACATTATTATTTAAGCAACGTCAACTACTAACCAAATATGTTTAATTTTTCCTAACTATGACAATTTTTGGTGCACGTATTAGCAAAAAAGGATCATCTGTACTCTATTTAAATAAATCAACAAGATTCGTTTACTATTTCATATATTTAAAAAACATAACATTTAATTGTATAAATAAATAATAAAAATGTGTTATTATTAACAAAATATTATAAAGCATTTGATAAAAATTCTTAAAACCTATTTTTTATGTACAAAGTACTGTTTATTGATGCATATTACTTAAAATTCAAGATTACAAGTAAATTGTGCATAAGTACAACTTATTAAAGCTTTATGTTTGAATTTGTGTAATTAACTGCGGATAAACATAATCAAGTAGACGATAAACATTTAATTTTAAAATATAAAAAATCTAAAATATAATTAGGATAATTATTGAGTTATAACAGAATACTTAATTATTATCTTTATAAAAAATATATTATTAAACCTAAATTAAGTTACTTCATTACGTTAAAAATTAAATTATAATAAAAAATTTGAATTAAAAAAATACACAAATAAGAACTTTTAAATAGTTAATTTGATACTAATATTGATATAATTTTTTGCAAATTTTATATGATATTTTTAAATTTATATTTTATTCAAAAATAGAAACATTATCTCTTTTTCAAAATCACATAAAATCGTATTATATCGACATGGATAAAAAAAACGAAATATTGAAATAGAAATATATCTTGATGCATTGCACAATTACCTTTCTAGTTATTAACAAAATATATAATACATTGTTTGATAAAGGCAAATCAAGAAACCTTATTACCTCAATAAAATCAAAAAATAAATAAAAACACATGAAAAAAATCTTGCATTTTTAGGACCAAAAGGTCATTTCAAATAAGAGTAGGGGGTAAAAGCGAACATAATATAAAAAAGAAGGACTGAGAGTTTAAAATAAATAAAGAAGGGGGTAGGGTGGTTAAATATCGTGGGAAACCTCAGATTAGAACCCATGAGCACACGACATACATAAACCCATCGTCTGAACAACATCGAACCCTATATGCACTAATCTTCTCTCTGCAATTTCTGCCAACAATCACCATGACTGCTCATAGTGGCGCTGATCGCCTAGATGCTTCTTCGTCGACTGCTCAGCCGGTGATGCCTGCCCCCGCAGGCAATGGAAATGCTAACGGAATTGGATCAGTGCCGATGAACTCCAATTACCGTCTCCGATTGATTCCTCATCAGGATCACAAACCGGATAACTACGATGATCTTCAATCGGAGTTCACTCCTTTTCTTTTCAGCTCACTTGAGCGATATTTGCCGCCGCATCTCTTGAATGTTTCTCGAGAAGCCAAGTATAGGTACATGCAGGGGATTCTGCGTCGTTATTCGACTGAAGGAGATCGTACTCGTGTGAGTATCCAATTTTCTATATTTTACCATGTATTGACTGACTCAAAGACACTAAGATGAACTGAACAAACTGTATTAATGTAGGCTTGAACAGATTCGTAAGAACAATTTCCGAATTTCGTATTTCTCGTATTCATAATCACGCACAAAGGAATATATGATTTTTTTTTTCAACTTGTTAGTATATTATGCGCTGGGTTTGAAGGTTGGATATTGTTAGGATTATGATAGGCATCGACAACAAGGAAAGATAGTTTAAAAATTCTGAAACCATATTTTTTTTGAGGGATTGGATTCTAAAAATTTGAACTTTTAAGGTTTGCAGGAAAGGATAGAAGAGCTGACCAAGCTTGGTAAAGCGTTATTTGCTGTATTCACATCCACATGTGGAAGTTTATGGAAGTTCTATTTTTGTCACCCAAGATAGCTCCAAAGTTGACTTATGCTGATAGACTGGATTTGGAAAAAAAAATCAGAATTTAGATTGAATTAGGAAAAAGAAACTTAAAAATATAGATTGAATGAATGAAGATCATATTTATGGGCACAGAATTGAAGGAACCACCTGGGAAGTGTGATGTCTTATATTTGTTGCCTGCAAAGGACAAGCTTAAATTTAGTGCTTTGCATTAGATCAATGTCTGATAGGTCTCTTCATTAAGTGTAGGATGTTTGATCGATTTGTAACTTGTTTTCTGGAGCTGATGTCAAGGAAGCTATTGAAAGCTGTAAACTGTTATACTTCTTGTCAGTTGGTTCTATGCTTTTCATATGTGAAGCAGATAGTGCGTGGTATATAAGTTATAGTGTTCTTCTTGCTGACAACTTTAGAAGTTATAAACTTGCCCTACTTTATGCCTATTGTGAATATGGATACTATATTTGTAACGAGTACTTGGAAAGACACGTCATTATGACATATATTTCAGATAGGGTAAAATTTTCATATTAATAGATCTTATAACTTGAGAATTGGGAATTCATGGTAGCTGGGGTTCAAATGTTCACTGTGTTTCATCGTGTTTAGTGGACCTGCAAAACAAGGGGATAATACATTCAATAGCCTGTGCAAAAGGGAGAGATGGTGATCTTTGGCTTCTAACTTCTCTCTTGGTAGTTATGAGGCAATGCTACTATGTGGTTCATACAAGCTGAATATGTGGTTTACGTGTTTTGCAATATTGTTGGGCATGAACTATTAGAGAATGGATAGGTTGATCATTGACTTCTATCCTCTGTGGAAGGAATAAGCAATGCTTCTCTGGGATTCACTTTTAGAAAACCCTTCCTCTCATGGATAATCATATTTGGATATTGTTCTATGCACAATAAGTCTTCTTGTTGACTATGATTTCTAATTCAATTAAGCTCTATCAGTCGCCAACACAAAATGCTGGCCAGATATAATTTCTAATTCAATTAAGCTCAATTGTGTAGATTTGCTAAAACCAGATTGGATAGAAACAAAGAATTGCATTAGAATTGGCCTTCATATCTTTCTTGCCAATTAATTGAAGAACCTTTCTTTGTGCTACAGGTAAAAGAATCTGTCATGCTTGTTAATTTAATGTTGGATGATAATAATTTGCATAGGATTCGCACTTGAAAATTCCTTGGTCTTCCAAGGGAGCAAATAAATTAGTGCTTTATACTTTGCTGGGTTACAAGGATCATTTTGTTATAAAAAGTTTGCTACAGGAGGTTGCCGTGAACGTACTAATAAATTATATACAATTGTAGTGTCTTGAGAGGAAAGAGGCAAATTTTGTGTTTTGATGGATTATCTTCAAGTGTATGTTAAAAGGTGGGCATCACATTCTTCTTGTTGACTATGATTTCTAATTCAATTAAGCTCTATCAGTCGCCAACACAAAATGCTGGCCGGATTTAATTTCTATTTCGATTAAGCTCTATTGTGTAGATTTGCTAAAACCAGATTGGATGGATAGAAACAAAGAATTGCATTAGAATTTGGCCTTCATATCTTTCTTGCCAATTAATTGAAGAACCTTTCTTTGTGCTACAGGTAAAAGAACCTGTCACGCTTGTTAAATAAATGTTGGATGATAATAACTTGCATAGGATTCACACTTGAAAATTCCTTGGTCTTCCAAGGGAGCAAATAAATTAGTGCTTTATACTTTGCTGGGTTGCAAGGATCATTTTGTTATAGAAAGTTTGCTATAGGAGGATGCCGTGAATGTACTAATAAATTATATACTATTGTAGCGTCTTGAGAGGAAAGATGGGCAAATTTTGTGTTTTGATGGATTATTTTCAAGTCTATGCTAAAAGGTGGGATATCACAATTTTAATCGCTGTTCTCTTTGTGTGGGTTTGATAACATACGATAAATAAGAAATATCCTAGATTAGTGGTGATACGAGCTCTTATTATTGATGCCTCCCTATATAGAAAGTTTCCTAAATACCGACTACTACTTCGGATGAAATACAGTCGGAAATGCTTCCTTAATAGACAAATCGTCATAATTAAAATGTATGAAAATGTTACTTGACTTGAATACCCAGCTTCTTACATCCTCTATTGTTTCAGGCTAGTTATAGACGTGTTAAATTTTCTCCAAATAATCATACAAATAACTGTTACAAATTCCAAGAGTCCTTTTGCTTTGTTCATGATCATACTAGTAGTGGAGAATGAGAAGCCTCAACTCTTGAAAAACTTATACTGCAATTCCACATGTGTGATGACAGTTATACTAAAATCTACCTTTTCCAACCTCGGTTGATATTGCCTTTTAGTTTGCTTTCTGAATGGGTTTTATCTGGTTTGATTAATCCTCCTGAGCATTCTTCTCCCTATTAAGCTGTTTACAGCTTCCTTCTCTTGGATAAGGCTGTGAAGAATCTTTTCGAAGTGCTTGGTTTGTGCTATCATAGTTCATAGATCATTCTTTTTTTTGCAAAACTTCCTCAATGTAGCACATGGCTATTTTTTGGTCCCACCTCTTTTGGATTCTCACTTATAATGACTACTTTACATGGTATTCTTTCACTAGTTATATCATCTCTCTTTGCTTGTGTCTCATTTGTATGTCTGCAGGCTCTTTGAGTGAAACAGATTTAGTGCAAAAAGCCAGTGTTAAGAAGTTAAGACTAGGACATCTTTTCTCTAGTTTTACAGTTATTAGGGTTTTAGCAAGTTTTGAGGATGGCTGTGGTGTCGGTGAATATTTAAAGCTGATATGTGCCTAGAGCTTGACAAGGTCGTTTTCAGCTCCAATATTTAGAACTATATCTAAGATGAGGCGTTCCGAATTTTGCAGTTCAACCACTCTGCTCTTAATATTGTTGGTGTAGTACTACTACCATAAACAAAAAAATTACATATAAAGATGAATTATGTGAAGGTAATTCCTAATGTTGTAGTATTGTAGTAGGGCATAGAATTCCGGAAACAGCTAGACTGATTAACTATGATTGTAAGGGTAACCTGAGATTTCTCAGGCTTCACACGGAAGTCCATTCAATAAGAAGGCCTATACTTAAATAAATGTCTGAAGATTCAATACTTCGATCTCAGTGGTTGCATTTCTTTATTAAAATGAAGGAAACCCTAATTCAATGATAAACTCATATCACGCCAACTAATACCCATTCCAAGTTTCCAACATCATATAAAACCCCATGCTATGGTCCTAATCACCTAATCATCAACACTACTGTAATTTAAAAAAAAATGATGTCAAAGTGATGAGTACAACTAAGATTTCAAAAGGTACAACTTCAATTATCTGCTTACTCCCCGAATTCGATATTTCGTTCTTATGTAGTTAATTATATTTGGCTAATCTGTATATAATTAGATGAAATACTATCATAATCCTTTTCAAGTTTTATAGCGCCTTCTCCTTTCCTGTGAAGATTGATTTTAGAACTTTTTATGTTAATGTCTATTTTAATAGCTGATCATCTTTTTCATCACTTAATTTCAACAGGCCAAGAAGCACAAAGAATATAGGCAGAACATTATATCCAACTATCAGGTGAACTTTGAGGTGTCCTCTTGATGGATAGTTCTTGTCTCAGCCCCTTTTTGTTGGCTGGTGGTTTTGTTAAACTTAACATGTGGTTATTCTTTTAGTTTGGCTCCTATGCACCTTTGTTTATATCATAACAAAGGCAATCGATACATTGGTCTTGAACTTGAACTTGATATTAATTTGGGCTTGTTGAACTTGACTGGTCAGAAATCAAGTATACCCTTAATTTCTTATATGTATTTGAAATGAGATTTATCCCTTCACTCTTTGCCTGGATCAATATTTCCTTTCATGTACATTCTATAATAAATGTCCACTTACACTAGATAAAATATTTCTAACCTCCTATAATGACACAGCCTTATTTTCAATGTGAAAGTACCCAAGGGCTTGCGTAATTTCATTGTTCTTCAAAGATATTGTGAATAGAAAGTGGGAGTTCCTTGGGAAGAATGTCATTGTTATTTTCATTGATTTTACTCTGTTCTTGAGGTGGGCACTTGATGTGGAAGTTACATTTGAAAATTGAAATATCACATTTTAAATTTTTAAACGATAAGTGAATAATGCTATTACTTGTAGAGTATCACATGCACATGTAACAAAATGATCTTTCCATAATATCTCTTTGATTTATTTTTTAGCCTACCCCAAATAGTTCTATAAAAGGCTGCTACTTTGCAGTAACTCAATTCTCATAAAAATTATCGAAACCACTTAAAACGGTAATAAGTTCTATATTAATTTTTATTCGTTTATATTATGAGACTAGGGGCAAAACTTGGTTTTCTGAAGGCAATAAATTTAATATGCAAATCTCATTGCAAACAGTGAAGTACAATATGACACTCAATTAAAAAAGAGATTTATGCATGGTTAGACATGTCGCTATATATATATATATATATGTATGTATGTATGTATGTATGTATGTGTTCCCTAAGGTTAAAATGATCAACTAGTTTCAAGCCTTGTTTCTTTGCTGTTCACATTCTACGTACCTAAGGATTGTCCATCATGTCGATGGCTAATGATGCATTAAAGAAGAACTTGCTTCTTCTTTAGCATTCTTTTTAGATGTAATCTATCATATGAGATTAGTTACTTTTATCTCTGTTAAAGTGTTATATTTCCCTATTTTTGTATATTTTATTGATCACCCTGTCACTGATTTTATTTGTCCGCTTACACTTGCTTTCAGCCTCTGTACAGAGATTTATATCAATTGGATGCCACAACATTCTTTGTGCCGTCCTTTTTGGAGGCATTCATGGCCAGTGATTGCGACAGAGATCAAAGTATTAAAAGTATAATGTCTGAACCTGCTCCAGGAGTTTATACATTCAATATGCTGCAGCCACGTTTCTGTGATATGTTGCTAGCTGAGGTATCATCTAGCTCTGTTATTGCCATCCTAATGGTTGGCATGCTGATTTTAGTTTTCTGTGTAGTTTAGCTTTTATATGTTCTCTTATCAGGTTTTGCTTGTTTAGGTTGAAAATTTTGAGAAGTGGATTACTGAAACAAAATTCAGAGTCATGCGGCCCAATACGATGAACAAGTATGGTGCTGTTCTTGATGACTTTGGAATGGAATCCATGCTGCATAAGTTAATGGAAGACTTCATACGCCACATCTCAAAAAGTAAGTTACCACAAAGTAATATTATCTAAAAGCAGGTACAAGTTTGTTGTGAAGGCTGAATGAGTGAATGATGCTGTCAAACATTTCCTCATAATAATCAGCGGCTTTTTCATTTCAAAATTTGTGCAGTTTTCTTTGCTGATGTTGGGGGATATTCACTTGATTCCCATCATGGATTTGTGGTTGAGTATGGACTTAATAGAGATGTCGAATTGGGTATGTCAACCGACCAAATCTCATCCCTTTTACCATGCCCAAACTCTTCTTGACATTTTGGTTCCAAAATGTATCCTTGTATTGCAATTGTTTGTGATCCATCCTGATCCTTTTTATATGACTAAATAGTATGAAGTTTGTAAATTGTAGCAACTATGTGCAATGAGGCAAAAAGATTTTCAGACAATAAAATTTACATTAATAGTCTTGTCAGGATACAATACTTGGTTGTGGATGTCACTTAGCCTAGACATATATCTGTCATTTGTTAATGTCAATACGAGCATTCTACTTCTTTGCAGGAGTTGGGAAGTTGCTACTTTTCCTCTTAGAATCATTGTAACTGTTACTTGTAAGGCAAGCATGGCACATAGTTGAAAACAGCGTTGGTTCATGGTGCATAGGGTACTTCTTTCTTTGTGGACGTAAAGATTCACTCACACTATGCAACAATTCTGACAAGTGTCTCATAGAACTCTATCTAAATCTCTTTTGAGTGTGTCATGCCACTTAAAAGGCATATCTTGTAGCCAAGATTTGTGAGCTTAACCCATGTTTACAAACATTCTTTTGTGGAATTAGCATGGTGATCTTCAATGATGGGCTAAACTCGCAAATCTTTGCTATAAGACATGCCTTTAAGTGCATAACACATTGAAGAGAAAGGTGTACTTCTTCGAGAACTACTTGCAAGTACTGTTGCCCCATCTTCGTGGCATTGTGCTATTATGATCTACTAGGATTTGTGCATAAATCCATCAGTATCTAATGAGGAATGTTGTCCAAAAGATAGGCATAGGAAGGGAGTTCAATATTTAAAATGGATATGCATAAGAACATAGAGCTTGAGGAGTTTGGTAGGATTGAAGGGAAGAACTTTCTAACCCAGAATAACTTCCCATCAAGCTTTAAAAGCGAACAAGGAGTGGCATATGCTATATGCTGATTGATAGGGGAAGTTCTATTAATGCCGTTGCAAGGTAGAGAGGAAGATGTTGAAAATCAGATGCAGACAGACTAAGATCCCTATGTCACATGGATTACTAACATGAAGCTATTGAGTGACGCACAACATTTAATCTCCTTTCCAAGGGAAATATAGAGTATATTTATGCCTGTGTTACCAGTTCCCTCTACTGAGTTAGAGAAATCTTTCCTCATCCCTGCACCACTTCACCCTATGACATCCTTTCTCATGGTACAAATTAACAAGGGCTGATGCCTTGTCTGTGAACTGATGCAGGAATCTGATGGTTTTTACAGATATGTTGGGCCTTGGAAGGACATGTACAAGCTTACAGAAAGAGCTTACAATTTGAATGTGTTAGAATGATGATGATAATTAGCTTAGTGATAGTGTTCCTGCCTGTTCTCCCTGTCTTTCACTTCTGTATTCTTATTGACGTTCTCTTTTAACTGTTTTGGAAAGTAATTATTTGACTGTTCATTGTTTACACTGTATGTCAAGTTAGAGGTTCCTTCTCTTTATCCTGTTCTATTTTTCTTTCGTATTATTCTACATGGAAATGAAAAGCATTAATCTGGCCCCTTTCCAACTCCCAGTGCAATAGTAATCATAATTGCCTTACATTTCTGCTTAGTTTTAGTGCTTGGCCTCTGTTACTTCAATATTTTTCCTGTTAAGTGAAAAAAATACTAATTTTTTTGGTTACGTTCTTTTTTATCTGCATGTTCAATGGGGTTTCTTTTGTATTATGATTATTCTGCTGCTGTTGTTTGTTCAAGTAATGTATATAAATTGGATGCTGAGTGAGTTGCTGAACATTTCGTGTCATATTTATGCATTTGCTAAGGATATTTTAACTAGTACTTGCACAGTTATCTCTTAACTCTTGGCTATCTATCATAGCATTGTAGTTGGTTTAGAAACCTGATACTCTGCATTAGTAGGGTTCCATGTGGATGACTCAGAAGTGACCTTGAATGTTTGCTTGGGCAAGCAGTTCTCTGGTGGAGAGTTGTTTTTTAGAGGCGTGCGATGTGATAGGCATATGCATGACGAAGCACTACCTGAGGTACAGGATTATATTTTTCTGGTTATATCTCTATAATTTTCAGGTAAAAGGGTTCCTTTACTTTTTTTTGAGATTATTTTGAATTTAGTATCCTAGATTTTGTGGTACTATGCCTTTTTTTTGTTTTTGTTTTTAGTGATATCACAGCTTGGCCTATCTATGTGATTTCTTTAAAGCTTTTAAAATAATGCTCTCTCCATTCCATAATAAGTGCAACAATTTGTATTTACAAAGTTCTATATCAAATGCAACACGACTTAAGTTGGCAAGTTTTCATGATAACAAATGTCAATTTGTCTTTCATGCTGCCCCAACACAAATGTATTTAACTACTTATGTTCAATTGGTTCACCACAATCCCTACACGACTTACTTGGATTTGATGTTTTCATATTTTCTTGAAGGATCAACTGCACTCTTTTCACTTGTAACGTCAATATGCCACAAGCAAGGAGTTCTATGAAACCGGTTACAACCAAAAAATCTCCTTAATATGTGTGAGAAGTTAATCATTGCACTTATCATGTGACACAAGGGGTACCTATTAGCCGATTTTTCCATGATTGTGTCAAAAATGTTGTACAATACCTGAAATACTGAAAGATCTTGTCAGATATTTAATGACTACACCTATTTGTTAACAGATCAATATTTATGGTGAATGCCATGTAATAATAGCGACTGTAGGGCCGTTTGCAGTTCTTTGGATGAATATGTTATAGCCATCAACTAAATTAGCCAACCCGATAACAACCTTAAGCTAGGAGAGCGATAGGTCATATCATTTGATCATGTAATCTTTTTTCAAGCTTCCAGCTGAAACATGATGGTTGTGTGAATTGCTAAGTATATTTTATGGCTAAAGGTTGTTTCATTTAGGAGACATCTTAATTATTGCAAATTTCACATGCTATATATCGTGATATAACTTCAGATTAACAGTGTATCTTCAAACCATCATCTGTCTGGGTGAAAACTTAGCTGAAATTTTGTATATCACAGGAAATCTTTGAGTATTCACATGTCCCAGGCCATGCAATTATTCATCGTGGTCGCCATCGACATGGTGCCAGACCTACTACAGCTGGAAGTAGAGTCAATTTACTGCTTTGGTGCCGAAGGTATATATTCTTTCAACCTTGCAGTTTTGCTATTGGGAGATTGATAGAAATTCACATATGATCAAGAGTAAAACAAAAGATTTCTTGTGTTCTAGTAAACACATGGAATCCTCCATTCTCAAACTTTCATATTGATTGTACTATTTTGAACTTCAAGCTTTTTTTGTCTTCCACCTGGAACCTTTTTCCAGCAAGATAATTATTTAAAGTTCTTGGCTATTAACAGGATCTAGGCAGAAGTTTTAATAATAAGCATTTGCTTATATTACATAACTTGTTATACTGTGACCTGAATGAACTTGTGAACTTTATTATGTCATCTTGATCAACAAATGATCATTTATTTGTCATTTTTGCTATTTTGTCATTCATGCCCTCTCTTTGTTGTTTTTTCTGTATGAAGTTTCTTCCCCTGCTGTCCTCTTAGTAGAAAACTCTTCTTTCTCATCCTCTTTTTCTTGAAGTTCAGATAGCTGTTTGGTGGTAAAAGTAGATGGCTTTGCTGGGTATAGCACACACGCACACACTCCTAAGTTTTTTCTTCTTATGAATTATAAAAACATAGAAAGTTCCGCTGATATGGAATATGTTCTTTCATGGCGAGGTAGAAAGACTTCCATGTGAAGTTGAATGGAAGGGAATTGGTTTTGAGGGTGGATTGCCGAGTACTGTATGTGCTTTTGTGTTTTTGGAGAGGAAAAGGAGGAAAAAGAAAAGAGGCTTTTGGACCTTTTCCTAGATAGACCAAATCCAGCAGCAATATCATTGATCGTGCTATGCTTGTGATGTTGGGGTTTTCTGTTCTTATCTAGGTCTAATTTGAACCGGCCTGCTAAAGAATAACCTTGTACGAGGTCTTATAGAGATAAGTACATGGGGGATGTTATCAATTGAGATTTGACTGTGTGGAAGATCTCTCTATTCATGTGAGGTTCACCTCTTTGTGTACTCCATTGGTTTCACCATTTACTTATTTAGGTCTTAATATCATCCCACTAATTTGGATGATAAAAGGCTTCTTGGTCTTAGACCCACACATGATATTATATATTGCCAACTTTATAAATCATGTTGAAAAAAAGATCCTTCAAATGCCTTTTTTGCACACATTGTTTTCCATGTCAACCCAATAGTAACCACCACTAACAGCCTCTTTATAACCTGCAAGTGCAAAGTATATGCTCATAAGGGATTGTGAGTGTGGATTTTACTTTCAACTCTGATGTTTAGATTTTGACTATGAATGTTTCTATTAGCCCTATATTTCACACCAACACCAACTGTTACTCCAAATCTCTCCAATGGGCTCACCATTTCTTGCACCAAATTTGGTGCAACACTACTCATTTACACCATTTTCACAATTACAAATTTGTCCCCTGAACTTTCAGATTTATGTATTTTTACTTTACAAGTGTTCAGATTTTAAGAGTTTTTACGTGTTATATATTATATTATAAATATATTTATATTGATCTTATGTTTTAATCAATTGAATGGTTATGTATTCAGCTTCTTATAAAATTTATTAAGTTGTAAAAATTAAAAATATGGGTATAATTTCTAAAGCTGATAAATATATTATTTATAATTAAAGATAAAAAAGAATATATTTTTAGGATCTTACGTTTCAGTGTAAAAATTAGTGTTACCCATTGGAGAAAAATTACTGTAACAAATTGTACACCATTTTTTATGGAAATGGTATAAGGTTTGGAGTTACCTATCGGAGATTAGCAATCATATCCCATATATGGAAAAAAAGGAATAAGATTGCCAATGTCCTTTGCAGAAGCTATGCAAATTCTGAAACCATGATTTGCAACTCCAAGCAATTAGTTGTGGCGTAAACAATCTTTCGTCTTTGCGTATTATTGAATTAAGTTTGTTCTTTTCCTACAGTTCCGTGTTTAGAGAGTTGAAAAAACACAATAAGGGGTATGCAAGCTGGTGTGGAGATTGTCAACGGGAGAAGAGAGAACGGCTTAATCAGGCTGTGTCTGAAAAAAAAGCGGTACCGTTTTTCTTCATGTTTCTCAATCCCCTTTTAGAAATTTCATCTAAAACAGGCGTATTCATGTTGTCGCCATTTTGCAGGAGATGCTTAATGAGAGGAGGATGGTTCATGATTAGATGATGGAACGGGGTTGCTTTTGTTGTGTCGATAGATCAGTGTACATTTTGACCCTTCCTTTCTAAAACCGAACCACAATCATTGTGTCCGTTAGCATGACCTCTTTTAAGTTATTTGCGGTCATGCCTTCTGGTGATGAAATGTTGTTTATTATAGTCTGCAACTAAAGTGCTTCTCTATTCATGCATAATATATACTGCAACATTGGTCAATATCCTTTGCCTCTTTCTGGGCATGTAGAATGATGTGTTAGCTATCTTTTTAGGATGTAACTCATTCGCTTCTGCGCATTAGGTCTTAAGTTGTGTGGCTAGAAGATGATTGCGGATCAATCGTTTATCACTTCTATTTATAGGTTGATATAATCACAAGCCGGGAGGTCTTCACCATTGCTCAACTCATTGAGGTAAGAGTCAGATCTGGGCTCCGGCGAACTCAGGATTTTCCCGGAGCGGATATACCTTTAAGGTGGATCAAGGGTCTGCAAGTTCGTCTGAAGTCTGTTTAGCCGAATTCTACCTTTTCAGGGGATTTTTTTTAAAGTTTTTTTTGGTTGATTTCAGGGACTTTTTTCGTTTTTTGGTTGATATCCTTGTATTTTTTTAATATCCTGGAGCACTATTCAAAGCTAATGTGTATCTTTCATACCTCAAAAAGATTCTACTTGCAAAAATCGGTTGAGTAGATGTACAACTTCAAAATTCTACTTACAAAAATCGGTTGAGCAGATGCACAATCCGAAAATTCTACTAGCAAAAATCGGCTTAGCAGATGCACAGCCTGCCTCGGGGTCCTGGCTTGTTTGGTTTTATAGGTTGATATAAAAGTTGGGAGATTCGGTTAAGTATAGTTAAAGTGGTAAGATAATTAAATGAGAGTGAATCAATATAGGTGAGCGTGAGTTGAGATTGAGTTTTGCAGCAGCAGCAGCAGCAGCAGCATGGCCTGGTCTCCTTTGCTGAAAATTAATAACCGACTTCTCCGCTCTCTCTCTTTCTTTTACTTCAAACACCCAAAACAATAAATACATGTTTTAATTAATATACTATTTATTTCATTTTTCAATATTTTTTATTAACTTGGATATTCAACCCGTTATGTGAGCCGACTAATCGTAGGTCAACCACCTGCTTTGCAGATAGTCCAAAGTCACCGCATTTGAACTTCCGTGGCTATAAGAGGATTTTTATTTCTTCTTGAATTTGAACCTGAAACCTCCAAGTATTTTTGAACTTTAGAGCCAAAATCAAACTAATCAGACACCACCATTGTGGTTATTTTTCAATCTTTTATATTGTAGTAGATAATTATAACCAATTGAGAAACATGTGATCTATACTCCTCTATCTACACAATCTTCAATCGCAATACCAACTTTACACCAAATCATTTCAATCGAGACATTAAATCTTACATCAAATTTGATGTAACATTATTTATTTATACCGATCGTAAAGATAAAAAATTAACAAATCTAAGATCTTATTATTTGACGTAAGATTCGGTGCTACTCATTCATTGTTTACACCAATTCTTTCGGATTTGACTCAAAATCTAACGTTTGTCGATCGGAGATACCTGACATCCCCAATTGTCACAAAGCAATTTGAGATAGAAATAGATAAAAAGATGGAATCTTTAATAACTTGATACATAATAAGCACATGATCGTTGTAAGGGATGCATACCTAGTACTAGTAGTAGGACTAAATACCCTTCAAGAAGGAAAAAAAACCCCTAAAAAGTCAACCTTAGCATGCATCTCTTACATCCCCATGTAATTGCAAACCATTATATAAATCCTAAACAAAAACAAAAATTTACCAAAAGGGTAAAAAGGTGATTGTAACTCAAATACAAAGGTACAATACTCGGACCGATGGCCTCATTTCCTCAAAGCAGATGCAATAAAATAACGTTTCTTCCGGTTTTACCCTTCGTTTTCTTTTCAAAGCAAATGAAGGAAAAACAGGAGGAGAAGAAATTGTATTGCAAAGGTTTATTTTTTGTTGTGTGACGTGCTTTTCTTTCAACGCCGGAGAAATGCCGCCCTCCTCCTCCTGCGCCGCCACCCTCCTCCGCCATCGGACACCCTCCGACCACCACCACTCATTTCTTTGTTGTTGTGTTAGCAATAATTAATATGAAAGAAAAAGGTGGCCAATTGGGAGTAGTGAGTGAGAGAGGAGAAGGGAGATGAGGGGTTCTTATATAAAGGTGAGATTTATGAGGTTTATTTATTTATTTATTTAAATTTAATTTAACACCTTTTTTTTGGAGAGGGTTAGATATGTCAATTTACATGCGTATGCAAATTTAAAGTGGGATTTTGGGTTAATGGGGAAAGGTTTCTACATGGTGTTACGTTATCACTATGTACGAGAAAGAAAAGAAAAAAGAGACAAATAATTTTATAGGTAAATTGTATAAAAAAAATAACGTATTCTAACTTGATTTCTAATTTAGATAACGTATTTTCAAAATTTTTATTTTTGTACCTAAGATGTAAAGTTTTAATATTTAAGTTCCCGGATAACCGGTTGAAGCTTTAACCGGTTACCATGTTGATGTGACAAGGTATCCAACTCAGTATTATTTATTATTCAACCCAATTCTATCATATCACTCGTCACATCAACATGATAACGGATTAATGATTCAACTGATTATTCGAGTACTTAAATGTTTAAAACTTTACATCTTAGGTACCAAAATGGAAGTTTTGAAAGTACGTTACCCAAAATAGGAATCAAGTTAAAGTACGTTACTTTTTCATGTAATTTGTCCTAATTTTATTTATAATTTTTTAATAAAATTAATAATAATTCTTCTATATTTATGATAATTTTGGATAAGAAGTTGATTATCGACAATTTTAATACAGAACCCGCCTCTAAGGAGAAAATGACACCAACATGAAAGAGTATTTTTAGCTGAGGTTAACGGGAGGTCTATGATCAAAACAAGGACCTGTCCTTATATTTAAACTAGATGGGTACTCGCGTAATACAACAAGATACATCTTAATTTTAATATTTTATTTTATTATTTATCTCAGACGATGTTATAATATAGTCTTCTGTGATTTTGAAAAAACGATAATGTTTTTATTTTTGAATAAAATATAAATTTGAAGATATCATAAAAAATTGACAAAAGTATATCGATATTCGTATCAAATTAACTATTTAAAATTTCTATTTTTTGGGTAATTTTTTAATTCAAATTTTCTATTATAATTTAATTTATGTTCAATAACGAAGTAATTTATATTTGGTTTAATAATGTAATTTTTTTTATAAAGATAATAATTAATTATTTTGTTAGAACTCGATAATCATTCTAATTATATTTTAGATTTTTTATATTTTGAAATAAGATATTTATTCTTTATTTGATTATGTTCTGCAGTTAGTTATATAAATTCAAACATAAAACTTTAATAAGTTGTACTTATGAATTGTAATATTAAATTTTAAGTAATATGCATCAATATACAATACATCATGCATAAAAAGTGGTTTTTAATTTTTTTTGTCAAATACTTTATAATATAGCATAGATAAAATCATCTCATTATTTACCAACAGAGTTATACGTCATATTAAAAAAAAAAACAAATAAAAAAATGAAAGTTTTGGGTTTTAGTAGCCCACAATTATCGAGTGAGTGCGCTTGGGACCTTCAACTTGTAGTTTCCCTTTCTTTTTCGCCTTTTAAGAATATCTGAGTATTTTCATTTTATTTTTACTTTTTTTTCCAAATATATTTTAATTTCTGTATTTGGTTTATAAACAGTATTTACGATAAATAATTTACAAGAAATAAAAAAATAAAATTTAAAAAAAAAACAATTTAAGAATTCAAGACTAAAATTAAATCATGTTTTGGGTTCAAAGATCTGGACGGTATGTACATGCATATACCGGTAGTTGTAAGCACATTTGTCTGGTATGCGCACGACACAACTTTAGTTACCATGTGCATACTTTATAGATGAACGGTTATCAAGATATTTTTTAGTTTTTCATTATTTTTTTTAGGTTTTTCTCTATATAGGGTGGGTTCAGATGAAAATTAAGTTTCGGTTGTGAATCGAGGGATAAAGAAGAGTGTGACACATGTCTCCTACCTTCACGGGTGATTTTCTCATGAATAATGTATAATTCATGTTGAATGTGCATTATTTATCATGAATATTAAAACAAATTAACATGGATCATGATCTGTGTATTATTCATCATGAATGATGTATCATTTATCATGAATAGATCATGACCTTCATCATTTATCATTCATATTGAATGTGGATGCCGAAGACACGTGTCACACTCTCCTTGATCTTCCGGTTTAAGCCGAAAATCGATTTGCAGTTGAACTTTTCACATTTAATTCTTTATGGGCTTCTTAAATTTGATTATTCTTTACAAATTTATATTTCGTATATGTAATAATCAAACCCATCCATTTGTAATTCTCATAGTATTGATTTCACTCAAATGAGGTTTGTTTAGCATCTAAGTGAAAATATACTGAATCGTGCAATTAGAAAAAACAAAAATAAAATCGGTAACCATTTTATCGGTTTCATAATTTGTCGAATTAATGAACTTGGTATTATATTTGTATCAATTTTAATACGTAAAATATAATTTTTGTGACATGATTATTTCAAAACCTCAATAGTGTTGATAAATCTTCGTATAATTGGTTAAAACAGTTAATTGGGGATTTTTATTGTGCAACTACAATAACAAATTCTAATTTGTCATACGATAGCTACATGTAGTATAGACATTCCTATGGTTTCTATTTGATAACAGATATGGTCACTCTTAATAACAGAGTCAATTAGAGGGTTGTTAACTATGAGGACTAATTCTGTTATAAGAATGAAAGTAGAGGGAGGGAAGGGTTAATAGACGAAACTACCTCTTCACTAATGGCACTCTAATGAAAGCGTTATTGGTAGGGACCATATCTGTTATAAAAATAAACTACATGGATGTCCTTCATATAAAATTCTTTTCAGAGGCCTTTTCTTGTTATTGTATGTAAATCAGGGACCAAATTTGCACTAAACTTATAATAATAAGTGTTATTACGAAATTAACCTCATAGTTTAGGGAAACTCTTGTTTTGGTTTTTCTAGTTCAGTAATTATACCAGTAACCATGTTATTTGTATCCCGTCAAGAATTTTGTTCCTAGCTGCTAGGAGCAGTCACTAAATGGCCCTCACATGCAAGTCACGTAAGAGTATCTAAAAAACCTATGTATAAGTCTATAAAATATACATAAACACCATTTTGATTCAAAAAAATAATTGCATGTTAAAACCCTACCAGCCACTTCCATCCTCGCTTAACAACTTCATATTTATCCTCCTACGACACTAAAAACCTTCATCTTCATCCTACGACGACATTAAGGTTTCAATGTGGGCGCGTAGTGGTGGAATGGTTAGCGGTAACGGTAAAGTATGGTGACCAATTGGAAGTGCAATGAGGGGAGAAGGGTAGGAGGTAGCGATTGGTAGTCTGGTGGTGGTGTATGCAAGTTAAGATATGGTGGATCAAAACACTAGGCAAAACAGTGATAGGAAGAGGGAGAAATGACGAGGAGGTTAGCGGCAGTGGTTGGCGGTTGGTTGCTTGGTGGTTGAAGTGGGATGGAGTATTGAGCCA